CTGAGCAAGGCCCTTCGCCCCAGCTGCTCCAGGGGTGCCGTATAAATGTCTGACCCTGCGCTCTGACCCCCAGCTTCTCTCCCTGTCTGTGTGTCTCATGGAGAGCAAGCTGGGGTATGTGAAAAGACGAATTCCTAATGCAAGAAATTGTATAGGGTCAATAAAGTGATCTGATCTTATATTAAACATCATCATCAAGATGCTTTCCAGGAAACCAATTTCAGATTTTCTGGTCTAGAATTACTTGGGTCACCTTTGTCACCCTTCTCGTGGTTGGGCACTACATTAGCAGTTCTCCTGCCCCAGGTGCGAGCCCCGTCTTGAGTAACAGCGTGTCAGTGGTCTCTGAATATCCTCTCTCCTAAAACACAGGGAAGCAACACCATTTACAATGTGTGTATTTTGATCAGTTCAGTAATATTGAAATTCACCTTTCTGTATATAGAATTTCTGTAAATAAGATGGTTTTATTTTTTTGGTTTAAATTGTTTAACTTGAACTTGAACTGCGCTCCTTGTGTCCTTGAGCGCAGCTGGTAAGGTCGCCTCAGGCCCCGGGGGTTTAGCGATCTTGAGGGCTTCTAGTGTGTAAACACTTCATCCTCTTCTGTGCTGGTTCAGAACCTTCCTCTTCCTCAGCCCGAGGCCCGTTGCTCTTCCTCGGTGCACACCTGAGTGAAACGAGTGGCCCAGCCATGTCCCCCTCTCTGTCCGGAAGTTTCTCCTTTTCGCCCACGAGATACCTGGGCTCCTCCTTGATGGTTCACCCTTTTGCAGTTGCAGTGATGAAAGACCGTTTTCTGAACTATTTTAGCCAGCGCCGAAATATTCCTTTCACTTCCCCCCTCGACCTTTCTGCTATCTTTGCCTATCTGTGCTGGAAATAAACTCTTACTCTTTTTCTTTAACTGCCTCCTGCTGGGGTTTTTTGTAGTCATCTGGTCCTTGATATTTTTCCTCACTGCTTGTTAAAATTTTGCGGGGATAAACGTGCTCAGTGCTTCATACGGCTGCCCCCGTTTTTCCCACCTGGTTTCGTATCTCTCCTGTCCCATTTTACACAAGAGAGAGCATGCGAACTCCACACAGACGGACGCACACAGGAAACGGGGCGCTAAGCCCCCCCGTGGAGGACCAGCAGAAAAGAAAGGCGCAGCGGTCTCGCTCCCCTTTCCCCCAGCGCGATGCGCTTTACCCGGCGGTGCCGTCACACACCGATAGGAAGTGCGACAGCCGCTCGTCTCGGGGGATCGCCCCGCGAGCGCCTCGCAACAAAGCCCCAGATGATCCGAGACTCGCGCGCCGGAGAGCCGCCGCCCTCGAGGCGGGGGGG